TAGCGGTGTCAGTGAAAATTTTATGTAGATTATTATGGAGGTATTGATATTTAAAATTAATTTTAGATGTTTCTCTTAGATATTTAATTGCTTTTAAATCTATTCGACCTTTTATGATAATCGGTGGGATTTTTGCCTCTTTCGTGGTGGTGTTCTTGGGTGTCACGGTTTTGACGCCTGAGGTAGATGGTTCCGACCTAGTAGTGGTTTTCTCAGGCTCCTTGTTCTTTTTCGCCCTCTTTCGGCGTGTTACCTTCCTGTAGTCCTCACTCTTCCTATCTGTATCCATATCTGTACGGTCCGTGAGCGCATCATATTTATTTTTTTAATGCAGTACTTGTCTGCACGTCCATCTTCTGATTTATGTTCGACATCTTGAATTTTTTCCCAGGCCCCTGCCCGGGAATTATTCTGTTTCCTGAAGGGTTTTGCGCACTGATTTTAAAATTTATTAAAATGATATAATATAAAAAGACTTCACAATTTTGAAAAAGCTCTCCCCATTAGCAACCCCAATCCGGGGTTTGGGAAGAGAAGTATGCAAAAGGCACGTTCACCTTTAAAATTTTGACAGATATAATAATATATATCCAACTTGTAAGTATTAAGCCCGGTGCCTTTAAAAAGGCAAGATTTAGAATCAATTCCGGACTTAATACTTATTTCACAAAAACACTGACACTTCACTGAAAAACAAATGACAATCTCCTATCCAAGTTCAGTATCTGCTGAATACATATATACATAATCATTATTATTGATTATGGATACTCTAGGCCCTAATTGTGGGTATAATTCCCATTGGTATGCTGAAAAATTGGATGCTGCACATGTGAAAATGGCAGATCAGCGCGCCAACGAGAACACCAGAATGCTTCGTAGGCAACAGCAAATGGAAATTTTGGAAACTTGCACAATGACTGATGAACTGTTATATGGCCCAGAAAGAGATGACCCGGTTTAGGTAATTCAATAATTCGAAATTCTGTACGTAAATCCAATATGAAACTTTAAACGCGTTTTTCTCAAAACTATGTCTTTTTAACCGGTGACCACTGTAACTCAAAAACCGCTTAGTTAATTTTAATGGAAATCATACAGCTTTTAGAATACATAATAAACTCGGACCTGATCGAAGGAACTTTATTTTTTCAAAAATTTCAATCTTTTAAGACAAATTAACTGTTGATTTTTTACCCAAAAATCTAGAATTTTTTTTGATGCTGCCATTTTGTTAATTTTTGCAAAAAAAAAGAAAACCTTCGATCAGGCCCAGGATTATCTATTTATAAAACTATTTTTTTTTATTTGATTTTTTTTAGATGAATCTCTAAGGAGTTATGATGGTCACCGCCAGAACCGTTTTTGAAACAGGGTCAACAAAAACCGCTATAACTTTGGGATCTTTTTTTGAAATTTTTGTTACTTCAAGTCAAAACGTTGTATAATAATGCCGTATTAATATTTTTGTAAAAAAAACGTCGTTTAATTACAAAAAAAATACTGAAGATGCTCATTTTTTCGTGCCTCCAAGAACCCCTAACCCCTTAATTGATCAACTCTAATATCTCATTACTGATAAGAGTAAATACAATATCCGATTAGAGTTAAAAAACAAACCATATTTAAGTACATTTTGCAAAATTTCAACGATTAGTTTCCGCCGATTTTACACAACTATTCAAACTAAGTGAGCTGTCAAGCAAATGCAATGCAATGTACATATAATGTTTTTCTCATTGAAATCGAATGGTTTTATAAGTGCCATTTCCATCAAAATTAAAATTCATCGTATTCCGTCTAGAATTAACTTTAATATAAATATCTTGATTCTAAAATATTCAATACTTTAGTACGGGTGGTTTTCAATAAAATCACCGCTTTAAAACCATTATTTAAAAACCAACCTATTTTCACAATATCTCAAAAATAATTAACGATACGTATAAAATAGATTCAAAGTATAGGTCTTTCACTGAACTTTTTTTTGTTCCTGTTATACAAAAATTGACATATTTTGATTGACAGTATATTGATAATTGTTTAAGGAGTGCACCGCGGTGCAACCAGAGTCTCTCTCGGGCACTTTGACTCTTATCTTATCTTATCTTCGCTGTTTCAAAATAAGAGCAGTTACACTAAAATTTATAATAGTTGCTTTTTTAATTACCTTCAAAATGGTATATTATAAGTTGTAGTAGAATCAAAATTAAAGGAGTTATGATCCAACAATTAACAGTATTCATGTTTAAATTTTTAGAGCAAGGTGTAAGAACGCTGTTTTCAGTTAATTGATAAGTTAACTAATTGATAAAGGAACACAAAAAGTTCTACACCGATTAAGTTGATATTTTAGCATGATATATGATAAGAAGCGTGAACTGCCCGTAGTAAGTTACAGTAATCGCAAAAAATCGAAAATTATTTGTTTTATATATTTTTACGTTTCAAAACTTTTCAAAGATATTGGCATAGAAAATATTTATGTATGCGTGTGTGTCTGTGTTTGTATGTGTATGTATGTATGCAAATGCGACGATTTTGAGAACACGAATCAACCGATTTGAATGATTCAAAAAACATTCGATTTCTATTGATACACCCTGATTAGTGTTTGGCAAAGGCAGGTCCATCCGTTTTGATGATGCGGGACTAAAAGTGCTATCAAAAACGACAAATCAGTTTTTGAGAGAACGGATTGATTTGCATGATTTAAAAAACATTTCACTTTCACGAACTTATTAAATTTTTAGAAACATTTTCACGAACTTATTAAATTTTTAGAAAAGCAGGTTCAGCGATTTTGAAGATACAATAAAAACGCTTACACGATTATAAATTTTATCTAAAACAGCTATGCAGCGCGATTGCTTTGAAAACTAATGCATGGCATCATGGCAAAAAAAATCATTTATTTAGAACATTGAAAACATAAATTTTTGAGAATTTTAAAATTTTTGAAAAAAAAAATATATATATTTTTTAATACTTTGAAATGTGTCGGAACGGCTCTTTTATTATGTTGTAAGTAGAGCTTATATATTATATTATATATTAATCAATAATATTAAATATTAACTATTTATTATTACTATTTATACTTACTATTTAAATTAAGTATTATTAATTTCGAATGCTGCCTTTCCCGTATTTTATTGTTGTCGAGCTCCTATTCTGATGTTACAGTAAAAATCTAAATAATATTTTTATATAATTTTTTGGGTTGTGAGCACTGTGATTTAGTTCACGAGACCTTAATATAAATTTTAACTATACGCTATTTAATTGCTGTATAAAATGTAATGTTAATTTTGAGAGAGATTCAACAGTTTTCTTTATATAACCACTTTAAAAACTTACATCTGTGTGGAGCAAAAATGACCAACTGAACAATGACCATGGCTAAAGAATAAAAAAGACTTGGATTTAATTACACCATATTTTTATAGAAAGTGTATAAAACTTCCAGTTTGATTGTATTAACAAAATATGGACAAACGAATATTGTTTTTATAAATTATATAATTCATTATTATACAAGTAGAGTTTGGGGTTTATAGTGTTTATAATACCTCATTGTCTGTACCATTCAAACAACACATCCTTACACACCTAAAATAAAGCTTATTTTTTTATTCTCTAAAAATTGTTTAGACTTAGCAAAACAATTTGCTAAGTTTGCCAGGTCAGCTAGTATATTATAAAAATACTATGAAATTTGTAAATGCATTAAAATAAAATCGTAATTAATATTCCAATTGAAAGTTTTTTCTATAACAAGCATAACTGGTCCTTCAAAGAAATCAAACAAAGAAATAGAAGACGCGCTTATTAGTTTTTGGCAAAAGCTGGTTTAGCCGTTTCGCAGATACGAATAAAAGTGTCAAGAATGGTAATTCAGTTAAGAGAACGGAAGGTCCAATTTGAATAATTTGAAAAACATTTCCCTTGTATTGACGAAATGAAGAACTGATTAAATTTTCAAGGAAGCAGGTCGAGCGGCTCGGACCTGCAAAGGTAAACATTCCAAACATAGGCATTTAAAGTTATGTACTCACGTATTGTAAAGTTTGTAACTCTCAAATAGCTTATTGTATTTGATTCAATAGCTACTCCGAGAATTTGTAAAATTGAGTATATTAAGAAAACAATTGAGGTTATCTGGTTTGAAGGCTGCCCAGTAAAATTTTAGCCTGAAGCTCACTAGAAATTGGATACTGAGGAAGGAACTGATTCCAAAAACACAATAAGGAACACTGGTTGCAATCAATAAAAGTATTTATTCACATAAAAATAGATAACTCTCAAAAAATACATTAAAAAAACACGAAGAAACAAGTGAACATAGCATGTATTTGAACAAACAAATGAATTCAATAATCGCAAAAGATTAGGGTTTATATACACAGCTGCTTCTTTCGGAATGGCCAGAGAAAACAAACGATTTTAATATTAGTATTTTGTTCAGGAAATTAAACTGTTACTTAAGATTACAATATATACAAAATAAAAAAAATACAAATGATTAAAAAATACATAAAAAAAATTTTAATTATCATTTGAAAAAATGTTTTCAAAGGTAAAAAAAAATTAAAAAAAACTATTTTTCAAAAATTTCAAAATTAAAATGCTGGGCACAATTCACCAATATATATTTCGGTTTTTAGAAATATGGCAAATTGCTATGATATATACATTCATGTTTGCATTAAGTAATCATTCATAAGTGTGCAACATCTTTCGTCGCCCAATTCATAAATTCTCATAATTCGTCTATGAATAGCAATTAAAATAATCTCTGAGAAATTACTTAAAACAACTGTTATAAAACATAATTTTTTATTGATTTTTGATTATTTTTATTTTTCGAATGTTTAATAACTGTACCGGAAGTTCGAGCAATTTACCTTAAGGCACGATGCCATGCATCACTAGTTTTTTTTTAAACGCTGTAAATATGTTCAAATACATGCTATGTACAAATTTTATTTATTACTTACCCACGACATCATAGGCTGACTGATGGTTACACACGATAACTGCACCACTTTCAAAATTTTTTATAGATGCGCAAGCAGGTTGTGTTAGATGTTCAGAACCACGCAACTCAAATTTTATACCAACAACTGCGGCCATTAATCGCAGATATGTTGCTGCCCATCTGTAATGAGTATCGTGATATATCACAAAATACATAGGATAATAACTATGAGAAAACTAGCAAACCCGACAAACTCCGTTTCGACATCAGATGGTTTCGTGAAAAAGATGAAGAATTTTTTTGTTTGTTTTATATTTTAAAAGGAAAAATTTGATTTTATTATGCAACAGTTACAAATTTATTTTGATTACAAAAATAAAGTGTTTTTTAGTTGAACTTCTCTAAGTAAATGAAAGTGAATCCGCAAATTATCCGTTTCATGGAAGTGATCTTTGGTAAACCACATTTTTTGTTTTTTGGTCTGACGTTAACTCAAACAAAGCGAATGGTTTTCCAACTCGTGAACAGGCAACGTATAACTGCCCATGTGAAAAACAATAATTTTCTAAATAATCTATTTGAAATTTATCCCCCAAACATTAAGTGATTGGCCTTGCGACATGTTATTGCGAACGCAAGGCGAACTGGATATTGCAATCGTTTGAAGTCAAACGGAAGATCAGTCAGAATCATTGGTATGTCACCAAATCGCCAGCAATTTTTGATTGAATGGTGAAATTCAGGGCGTGTACATCATTATTCTTTGCGGTAAGAATTGCTCGTTGACTTAACCAAGCATAATTCTGATAATTCTCACTAATGTCATTACTCGAATTTTTAATTACGGTGCGTGAAGTTCCAGCAGCTTGCATTAAGGCACGATGCCATGCACAACTAATTTTCTTAGCTATAAACCTTGCGGAGCCCGAGACCTTTCCAACGAATGCAAAATTGTCGAAATCGGTTCGTGCGTTCTGGAGTTATTTCGTCAGGAAGGAAAACTCGACTTATTGTTATATATATATATATATAGAAGACAATCTATTTGAAATTATTTAAAACAGTTATTGATTATTTTTATTGCTCGAATTTTTAATTACGTTGCGTGAAGTTCCAGCAGCTTGCATTAAGACACGATGCCATGCACAACTAATTTTCTTAGCTATAAACCTTGCGGAGCCCGAGACCTTTCCAACGAATGCAAAATTGTCGAAATCGGTTCGTGCGTTCTGGAGTTATTTCGTCAGGAAGGAAAACCCGACTTATTTTTATATATATAGAAGATAAGTTTATCAATATCATTATAAACCAAGGAGCTACTGAACCTTTTGAATAATGGTGTTCGTGTAAGGTTAAAAGTTTCCTTGTTTTGGAAATACTAATTGAATATTTATCATTCAATTAGTATGTTAGTTATATATATGTATTAGTATATAGTTATCATTCAAACTAGTGGTGTATGTCATCGTGCCTTAAGACAAATTGCTGAAACTTCCCGCGCCGTAATAAATTTTTCGAAGAATATTAAAAGTTTTCGAATAGATTATTATAAATATCGTACCATGGCCGCTAATCTCCGAACAGAGGGCTGTAATCTTAAATTTTATTTCCGTTCCTGCCTATTGGAGCGCTACTTGTACAACAAGCTAAAGAGAATTTTCCAGAATATGGCGTTCGTAGGACTAAATTTCTATTTGAGTGATTAGTGTCAAATGCTTGTTAAAAACTCATAACAAATATCATGTTAAAGTTCAGTGTACAATAATGCAAAAATGCATGTATTTCCTGCAGAACTTGACGTATTATATAAAATGATTAGTAAAATAGCCGAAGCCCGGGATTTCAACTGACTTAAGAACCAGATAAATTAGTTTTATTAAGATCCACACTTCAAAATACTGGCAATTATTATTAGCACTTCCGATATAATTTTGAAGTTACGCCCGAACTGTACGTCATTCCCTTTCGATGAAATCATTTCTATACATCCGTATAGATTGTGATTAGTTGTCGTGTATGTGAATAGAGATCTGCCGTTGTAGGCAT